AAGCTGCCTCTCTGATCCCAGGCCCACCCTCTCCTCCCACCCAAGATGAGACTTGAATGTAGTCATGTGGTTTTGGAGCAAGAATGAACCACACCCCCTCGTGGGCCCTGGTTTCTACCTTAAGCAGCAGCAGCAGGAAAAGCATTCACTGAGCACCTACTGTGTGCCAGGTGCTGTGTCAATCACATTGGATCCTTTGGCCCCCATCCAGCCCCCATTGAAGCTGGCAAGGGGCTCTACTGTTAAGGGGGAGATCCAGGTTTTGGAGCTGAGTCCCTTGTCTGGTGTCCCAACCAGTGATGGCCTGGCCAGGACCCACGCCATCTGCCTGACCCCAAGGCAGGACTCAACCTCCCTGATGAGTATTAGGTGTCACCCTTAACCTGTCAGTCAGGAGGCACTGAGGAGCCAGGATAGTCCTGGGCCACTGACGACTTTCTTTGTGACCTCGGGCAGGTTTATCAACCCTTCTGAGGATCAGATTGCCGTCCTCACCAGTTCATGAGGGTGGTGGACCAGACGCTCTCTAGGGGGTGCCCAGCCCACAGATGATCACATGCGATTCTAATTCTGACCACCAGGTGTCAGCAGAGTCCGCGTAGCCTGGCTAAAGGCTGCAAACCCCAAGTGACCCCATCAAGGACAGCTTCCCTTCCTATGGTGCCAGGGTGGAGGCTCTGCTGATTTCCCCCAGGATCGGGGATGGAGTCCTAGGGGCAGCGGAGGCGGCGGGCCCCACACCCGGTGTGCAGGCGGCTGTCAGGGAAACAGCAGAACAAGAGATCTGCACATATGCACACACCCTAACACACGCAGCTCAACCAGACATACTCAACCAGACATACAAAGCACAACACACATGTAAAAGTGTACACACAGCAACACATGCACACACCCACACACATGCACATCAGCTCAATCTCCACACACAAACACATATACACACATGTACATGGTTTTGCACGCACACAAATGCCTTCAATAGCCAAGGCAAGCTCTAGGCTCTATTTCCTGCCTCTCACTGCACTGGCTTCCTTACCTGTGTGATTTGTACTTGAACTGAAAAGACAGTCACACACAGAGATCTCCTACCTGTGATGCTGGCGCTGGCAAGAGAGCGGGTGGGGCTGCATGCTCAGGGGCACCCCAAGGTCACCCAGAAGGAGGGGCAGTGAGAAGCAGGGGCGCTGGGCATCCTGAGGAGCTGTCAGGAGCCAGGGAGCACCTTTGCCTTTACCCACCAGGAGCCAGAAATCGATTTAAATAAAAAAGTGTCTCAAAAGCACAGGTTTCCGCTGAAACCGGTTTAGCTCAGTGGATAGAGCGTCGGCCTGTGGACTGAAAGGTCCCAGGTTCGATTCCGGTCAAGGGCATGTACCTTGGTTTCGGGCACATTCCCAGTGGGAGATGTTCAGTAGGCAGCTGATCTATGTTTCTCATCGATTTTTCTAACTCTCTATCTCTCTCCCTACCTCTCTGTAAAAAATCAATAAAATATATTTAAAAAAAAAAGAAATTCAATGCGAAAATTTTCCTTTTCAGTATCATCTGTTGAGTCAACGGAATCATCACTCAAATATGTGTGACACCCTCCATCAAGTATAACCAAAATTTCTTCATTTTA